GTCATTATAGGCTCGGAATCCTTCAGGGGAAATGAGGACGACGCTGCCACCGCAAGCTTTGGCAGCCGATGAACCGTCAGTGAAGAGAGTCCACGCTTTGTCTGGCTCTGGCCCGGGCGTGGTAGCGGCCGTTTCCCTGGCTGTGCACTCGATGACGAAATCGGCCAAGGCCTGCCCCTTGATGGATGGCCTTCGCTTAATCTCGATCTGGAACTGGCTGAGGAAGATCGTCCATTTCACCATTCGTGAGGAACTGGTGGGGCTCCGCATGAGTGCACCGAGGGGTTGCTGAGTTAAGACGTGGACAGCATGGGCCTGGAAGTAGTGCCCTAGCTTTTTCACTGTATGGATGATGGCCAGTACCGTCTTCTCAATGGGGGAGTACCTGAGCTCGGCCTCCCGTAACGTCTTGCTTACGTAGAAAATTAGTTTCTGTACCCCCTCATCCTCGCGGATGAGCACGGAGCTGATGCCCGACGTGCTCACCCCCAAGTACAAAAAGAGGATTTCACCGGCTTTGGGTTTGGAAAGCACAGGAGGGGACGATAAGTACTGATTTAGTTCCTCAAATGCTTGCTGGCACTCCGTCGTCCATCTGAAGTCGGTTGCATTGCGCATGATCTGAAAGAAAGGGAGAGACCTTTCAGCCGACTTTGAGAGGAAATGGTTTAGGGCCGCAAGGCGTCCCCCGTCAGCCGTTGTACCTCCTTCACATTTCGTGGTGGCTCCATGTTGACAATGGCCTGTATCTTCTCCGGATTGATCTTAATGCCTCTTCGGCTGACCATGTAGCCGAGGAACTTGCCCCCTTGGACGCTGAAGGTGCACTTCTTTGGGTTCAGGCAGAGCTGGAACTTCTTCATGATTTCGAAAATCTCTCAGAGGTCGTCAACATGAGTGGTAGATTGCTTGCTCTTGACGATCATGTCGTCGACATACGCCTCCCTCGTCTGGCCGAGGACTGCTCTGAAGACCTTGGCTACCATCCTGGTGTATGTGGCGCCTGAGTTTTTGAGCCCAAAGGCCATGACGAGGTAGCAGAAAATTCCCTCTGGGGTAATGAAGGTCGTCTTCTCGGTGTCATCCTCATGCATGAATATCTGGTGGTACCCCCTGAAGGCGTCAAGGAACGACATCAACTCACACCCCACCGTCTCGTCCACCAATTGATCAATGTTGGGGAGAGGGAATGGGTCCATGGGGCACGCCTTGTTCAGGTCGGTGTAATCAATGCACATTCTGAACGTCGGCGGCTTCTGGGCGAGGACGACATTGGCCAACAAGGTGGGGTACTTCACCTCTTCAATGTGGTTGATTGAGAGGAGCATGGTAACCTCCCCCTTGACGAAGCCTCGTCTGTCGGCCGAGAGGTAGCATCGCTTCTGCTTGATAGGCATGGAGGCGGGGTCGACTCACAGCCGGTGAGTGATCACTCTTCGGCTGATGCCAGGAATATCGTTCGGCCCCCACGCAAAAATGATTGCATATGACCGTAGGAGGTTGAGGATGTCGTCGCGTTGATCCTGTGGGAGCTGTTTCCCGATTTTAGGACACGCTCCGGCCGGGAGGTATCCAGGGGGACCTCCTCGACCTCTTCGGCTGGCTTGGCGTGTGGCCTCTCCTCGTCCTTGTTGACGGTGGCGGTGATGGTGTCTATTCTCTTCCCGGCGGTAGCTTCTGGCTTTGTGAGCTTTACGTAGCATGCTCGAGCTATCTTCTGGTTCCCCCGGGCGTAGCCGATACCGTCGCTGGTAGGGAACTCAGGCACAGATGTTTCATGGAGATGATGGCCTCCAGATCCTCTGGTGCTGGCCGCCCCCATATCAAATTGTGGGCGCACTCGAGGTTGACCACCATGAACTCCATGTCAATTTTGGTGTGATGGGAGCCGTCGCCGACCTCCACGGGAAGGACTATCGTGCCTTCGGCTTCGATATAATCCCTGTGAAGCCGGACAACGGTGTCCTTATCGGCTTGAGCAGCGCTTTGTCCAGCTTTAGCTGCCTGAAGGTGTCAAGATACATGACGTTGACGGAGCTCCACGTATCGATGTAGGTGCGGTGGATGATAGAGTCACCTATATTGCACCGGATGACGAGGGCGTCTCTGTGTGACGCAGGCCCCAAAGGCATATCCTTGTTGGTGAAGGTGATCGTCTCCGTCCGCTGTTTCTTCGGCTGGGAGGGAGCATGGGATACCTCCCCAATGTAAAGGGATTGGTCCCACTTCTTCCTCTAGGTGGCCGAGTCCCCCCCGTATTACCCCCCACGATGAGGTTGATGTTGTTCCTCTTCGGGTGGGGCTCTTCAAAGTCTTCCTCGTCATCGCTGAGCCTGTCGATCTCTCGCTTCTTCGTAGAGGGTTCGCCCCCAGGTGCGCCTGCAGCTGGCACGATGTTTGTTTTCTTGGAGGGGTGCCCTTCATCTTTCTTGTGGCTGTGGAGCTCGTTGGCGCCAGCGTACAAGTTTCCTCGCTGAAGCGCCTTCAAATAGGACCTTGGCGGGTCAGTGATGAGACTCCTCGCATATGAGGTGCTGCAGAGGGCACCCTGGAATAGGACAAGAAGGGTGCGCTCATCGGCCCCCTTGACCTCATCGGTCTCCCTCGTCCATCGGTCGATGAATGACCGAAGTGATTCATCATGTTGCTGCTTGACGGAGAGAAGATGGGTGAAATACTTCTCCGCGTGCTTCCTTCCGGCAAAGTGAGTGAGGAAGTGCTGGGCAAGGTCCTGCCACGAGTCTATGCTCCCTTCGGCATATTATTTTGGTAGCGGCTGAAGTGCTCCTGGGGGTCGGAGCGGCCGTCGTAGGGCTTGATGGCGTTTCCCTGGTACTTCTCGGGGATTGGGGCCGAAAGTACCCTGGCAGTGAAGGGAGTCCTCGTCCTGAATTGGATGATGGGGTCTCCTCGTCCTTCGGCCAACTCCCTCTCAAGGATGGTGACCTTGTTCAGAAGGGCGTTGAAATCGGGATCCCTGGATGAGTTGCCGGTGGGCGTGGTGGCCAGTTGTTTGGCCTCCATCTGGGCGAGCCTTCACTCGAGTTGGGCGATCACCTCATCCCTAGGGTCTTTTGCCTCCATGGTGGCTCCCTGTGTTTGCAAGCGGGCTGCGTGAGCCGTGTTGATTTGGTGACGGGCATCACCCTCGTGCAGTTTCCCAATGCCTTTTTCCAGGCGGGGCCGATCCGCTGTCCGGGATACTGACCCCAAGCTTTCCCTGGGTGAGCCAGGCTCACACTGACCAATCTGCCCCGCCATCCTCTCCGAAGCAGGCCGACGGCACGTGTCACCTAGCCTGTTAAAGGTTGGGGCTTTTCCACACGCTGGGGTCGGTCTAGCTCGAAGCGGGGAAACAGGGTGGGAGTGGGACGACTTCGTGTCCTGGGGCACCACCCCCTCATCGTTGCCTAGCCTGACGGCCAATGGTTGGGGTTGAGGAGGCGGTGGCGTGTTCTCCCCCGTCCTTGGCATGAGTGCACTGAGGACGGTGGGGTTCTGGGCCAAGCTGTCGATGATGGCCGAGAGTGCGGCCTGAAGCTGAGGGTCAACAGCAGGAGAGGCCGGTTGCACCGAGGCGTTGTCACCTTTTTCCGAGCGCTTCTTGTCCAAGCCGATGCGGGCGTCCGGGGCACCGCTGTTGAGCTTGTTGTGCAGGTCACCTGCGAGGTCGATGGCTTCCTGGAAGACATCCCCCTCAGCGGCCTTGTTGGCCGTAGCATCCTCCTCGTGCTCTTGGTTCTCTTGTGCCTCAGGAATGGCCTTGCCGAGGAGCTCCTCGAGGTTGCGGTTTGACTTAGTTCTTCCCATTGTCAGTTAGTTGTGCTTGGTAGCGACGAAGGAGGCTAACTTGATTGTTCTAGCTCTCAACGAGAGCACCAAATGATAGATTATAAGTCTTAGAGAGAAGTGAGAGCTAGAGAGAGAGAAGTGCAGTAAATGCTTTGTATTAATGATTTTGTGAACCCCTATAACTACTCCCAAGGGGAGTATTTATAGGGAAAATTAGGGTTGGGCTCCCAAGCCTTGGGCTTGGGAGGCCCATTTACAATAGGGCCACTAATGGGCCGGATACAAAGTATATAGAAAAGATTAAGTGTAAAATTATGTTCTGGAGGCTGTCTATGGCCGACAAGGGCATGGCCGATGAGGGCGTGGCCGACGAAGACCCGGCCGACGAGGTCACCCGGCTCTCCTGGCTTCTGGGTCATATTCTGAGTAGACTTCTTTCTGGTCGATGGAGGTCATCTGGCCGACGAGGGTCCCACCAGGTGATCGTGGTACCTTCTGTTTTCCTGAGTATGTGGGCCCTGGGGTCCAGGCTCATATACTCCATCAACATAGATCAGACATTTATCAGACTCGAGCTGACCAGTTCAGACCAAACCATACTTGAATATATCATACCACCAAATTGTAGTCTAAGTAAAAACACCCTAATCTAACCAACATTTACTAAAATTAAAGCGGAATTTATGAGAGTGCAAAAGCACCGACAATCAGATCATAAATAATGTATCGTGTAAAAAAACCTCAATTTAATGGATAGGGAAGAAGAGGAATTGAAGACCATTTCTGTCAAATATAACCTCCTTTAGTTAATTGCAGTATTAAACATGATTTATGTATCAAATTTGATCATTTTATATTCATTTGAGGAAAATAAGTACTCCCTCCGTCCCTGAATTATCTTCGAACTTAATTTTTTCGTCCGTCCCAAAATTATCTCCTCCTTCCCTTTTTGGCAAAGAATTTGTGGTTCACAATCATTCTTACACATTCTTACACATTTCTTTCTCCTCTGCACAACTCTGCACCACACAAAACCCACTATCTTAATAAGTGTGCCCAGCCGAAATGGGAGATAAAATAGGAACTGAAGGGAGTAAATAACTACTTGAGCTGAGGTCAAACAAAATACAGTATGATTATGATGGGCGCCCTTGTTCCCTTGACTTCCCTCTTTATGCGTGTGTATATATAATGCTTTACTGACAACATGTTACATATCAAAACTGGATCCCATAATTCCTCCTTTGCTTTTACCAGTACACACACACAGTCGCATATTATGCATATAGTTAGCTTATCTTAGCTTGTAGCTAGGATAATAATAACAATTAACAAACACATAATTATTTAATTAATTTTATCTATTGGATGATGGATACGATGGAATCGTCGAGTGAGACCCCCACCCCCACAAATTCCTCAATGTCTTCCTCTTCTCCAACCCCTCCGGCCACTCCGCCGCCGCCGGTGGCCATCGTCAGCCCCTGCGCCGCCTGTAAGATCCTGAGGCGGAGATGCGCCGAGAAATGTGTGCTTGCGCCGTATTTTCCACCGAATGATCCTCTCAAGTTTACCACCGCTCATCGTGTATTTGGAGCCAGTAATATCATCAAACTCTTACAGGTATATATGTTAATTATTTTAATTACTCTCCGTTCTTCAAATCGATCAATCAAGTTCATATCGCTGTTTAGTTGACTAATTGATAAAATTAAGTAACTTCTGACAAAATTTAAATTTTATATTCTCATTTGTTCTTAAATAAATTATCACTTTCTTTATTCCGTTATCCAGCATTAAACTTCATATAATATGGGAAAATTAGAAAGTATTGAAGAGATATGAAAAAATAAGTTAATGCCAAGTATCACAAAAAATGATGAGAAATTTAATTATTTAATTTACTCACTTCCATATTACTACTTTCGTCCCACTATTATTGAGACGAAGGAGGATGGTGCGTATTTTAAGAAAAGAAGAGTTATATGGTTGACAACGAATTGATAAAGTTGGAATACAGTAAGAATAGATTAGAACCACACAAATATTATCTAATATGAGAGAAATTTAGTGGGACGAATGAAAAAGAAAAATTGAGACAATTATAAAGGAACGGGGAGTACAACGTACCAAGTGTATCTTATCAATGATAATTTCTCCATATTAAGGATTTTTATTGCACTTAGCTTTTGTTGGATATCTCTATTATCGTGAAAAATGCCTTAGCGTGGACAAATTATTAATTATAGGAATACAAGTCGTGCTTGTTGTACACATTATTTTGGTGTTCATTTTTCGTACAATTGTATGTTTGACGCACACAGAGCATGTCTTACGCATACAGAGTTATCTATGTACAGACAACTCTGTGTGCGTAAGACAGACAAATATACGAAAGGTGTACATCAAAATATATATATCAAACATCTTCCATAGGAATACCTATGGGGTTAAATGATCAAATTTCTAACAAATTAGTACGTAGTAAGATCTAAGGTACGGTGTTACAATTATAGCCTTATAGGTAACCTCAATAGTCAAATATCTTTAAAAAAGATCACAGATAGAACAAGAACGTAATATTCTATTCAAATAAGATCGGCCGCATTGTTTTTGTAAAAAATTAACCCATTCACACATACTCTATATAATTAAAGAATTTTAAATAGTTCATACACTTATTTATTACAGAATGAATCCCCTTTTAGTTTCACGAAAAAATAAGTATTCTAGTACTTGCATACATAACTCAAATTTTACTTTTAAATAGAGAAATTTAATAAAATACGGAGTATTAATTTTGATTTCATATTTCATATATTAAGCTTCATTTACAATTTATTATGTTTGACTAGCGGTATAGATCACTTTTTTCTTATAACAGTATAATTTTGTGTTAGTAATTATAACTTAAACACTTAAATTTTTTAATAAAACTTTTATTGAAGCATAAAAACCACATTTGAATATAATCAAGTTTAATATATAACGTTAGAGATTAAAAAATGAAATTGACCATATGACTAATAACTATGAAGCCCATTTTGGGACTTATGGTAACATTAATTCAAGTTCAACAAATTCACGTTTATTATGAATTACTCCCTCCGTCCCTGAATTTACTTTCAACTTTCATCTTTCGTCCGTCCCAAAAAGAACTTCACTTTCCCTTTTTGGCAAAGAATTTATGATTCACAACATTTCTCTCTTCTCTGCACAACTCTCCACCATACAATTCACACTTTCTTAATCCCCGTGCCACTTTAATTTGGAAGAACATTTAGGAACGGAGGGAGTATTTTCTCTCCTTTTGTTCCTATTGTATGAATCATAAGAAAATACGGAGTAAATTATAAGAAATATAATCTAGTGATAATATTTCATATACGAGTATAATTAACTAGCTAGGGGATCATGTCAAGGCACAGTTCATCGTAAATTTGGTACTTAAAATCCTTTATCTAAAAAATTATGGGAAAGGACTATTAATGATCTGTTTTTTACCGCTCACCCAATATATTCTCTTGTCTTGGACACTACTTTCTTGTTCCTTTAAATTTTAGGGAAAAGTACACATAAAAATAACATTCATCACCGTCTTCCCTTTCTGAGACATTTCCCTTGATGATGTACACCTAGCATTGGTCTATCATCCACTTTCTCTTAGTCAAATAGACATAATAATGATATGACAAATCAAATTTCATAAAAGCACGCCATTAAATAGTGTGAAACGTGCAAACGTTCTCTAGTTAAAGACATGCATGAGGAGGATACAGAGGATATGTTAGAAAACCAATTTAAGTTTAACACGTGGTGACGTGGGGTAGGTGCAAATGTATTAAATGAACATATCTAACTCATATGGAGTGTAATTAACAAAAAATTAAGTAATACTTCCGTCCCAATTTGATAGTCTTTTTTCTTTTGGGCACAAGTTTTGATAAAGTGGTTGAAAAGGTAAAAGTTGTGGTTGAGATTTGAGTATAATAAAGTGAAATGATATGGACCACATTTTTCTTTCCAAAAAGATAAACATGACCATCATTTTGGGACATCCCAAAAAAGAAATAGAGTATCCTCTTTAAACGGAGGGAGGGAGTACTCCGTAAGTTCATGAGTTATGTGTAACAATGTAGTTTGTGTACTTCAATTATGTTTTTAGTTTCAATTTACGGATTTTCAAGCAAAATTATTTGTTTTTGACGGATCATTAAATGTTTGCTAGAAAAAGTGAGTAAGTGATGATATACTATTCAAAAAGAAAAGATTCTTTTTACTGAATGGAGAAGTGCAAATTTGATTTTTATACAAGGTAACATTCAGACAATTATGACAGATTCGATTGTGAGTTCTGGGAATAGACATATAATCACTCACCATCAACACTGAATCATGTACTAATATAAGTGCATTTCATTTTCATCAATATCTATAGAATTGCTATGTACTAGTATATACTTGGTGTATGTTACGATTTGAAGTTTCATCATAAAAGATCAATCTAATTAGAGGAGTAGCTCGTGATCTTAATATACTACGTAGCATTTTATTACTTCTTCATTTATAATGTGTGGGACTTTTACACCCCTCCTCACGAGTCATGACGAGATAGTTCATTTGGATCGTGTTGTCAGTTATTTTTTTCATCAGGTCACCATTTTTATTGTCATTTTTTTATAATGGTGTTAGTCATTTTTCACAAGGGTGTCACATCATAGTTATGAATTGATTTGAGATCTAGGGTTCATTTTTCATTCTTAATTTATGAGTGAGAGACTTGAAGAGTTGAACACTATATTAATATATTACATGTTTGGAAATATATAAAAAACTCAGGAATTGCCGGAGGCGAAAAGGGCGGATGCGGTGAGCAGTTTGGTGTACGAAGCAAACGCTCGGGTGAGAGATCCGGTGTACGGAAGCGCCGGTGCAATCTGCCAGCTCCAAAACCAAGTGAACGAGCTCCAAGGCCAGCTCGCGATGGCTCAAGCCGAGCTTCTCAACCTCCAGCTCCGGCAGGCCAATCTCATGGCCATGTTTTATACGCAGGCCGCGGCAAAAGCCCCTCACCATCAACAACTCTCATCATCCATTGTTGATGATGATGATGATCGTCATCGCACCATAAACCCCATACATAATAGCAACCAGCTAACCAGCTTCCTTGAAGACAGTAATCCCGTGGGAATTGATATTTTTGGGATCAATCTAGCTAGCTTTATTGAATCTTGACACCATTATATATATATATATATATATATATATATATATATGCCTATCCATGTGTACGTACGTACGTAGAAATATATCTCAATATATACACATTAAAGATCTATCATGCATGCTGCATGCATGATATATAGGAGTCAGTTGCATCAGTTTATGCACATTGTTGTATAAATTGCAGTATACTACTCCGTATTATTTTCTCTTTCGAATTAAGTAGGGTGTATTATATTGTTCTGAATGTGAGAGCCCACTTACATTGAGATGTTTTCTTACATCAACCATTAATTTACTAATTTACATCACTTATGTATTCAATAATTTCCAGCGCTAGCTTATTTATGTGTTGATGATCACTATTAAACTTTGGAAAATTTCTGGAGATATAACTAAAACATACTCCATATAGAGTTTCCTTAAACATGACTTTGCACTGTTTTTAGATATTCTTATGATTGAAAAGCAAAAAGAAACTCATCATATTACTTCAGCCAAAATTTCATAAATTTCAGTAGGAGTGAATGTGAATATTCTTTTTTTCCATCAATCTAAAAGTTACTCTTTTTTCCAAATGAGCTTCCTTAAATGCACGCTCCCTAATATATACGGAGTACTATGTATAATTATAGGAAAAAATAATTAAAATACCTCAAACTTTGAAGTGATGCTCAGGAAACACCCCAAACTTGCATATGTAGTTTAAATACCTCAAATTTTATATAAAAAGTTATTTAAGTATCATGGTCATATCATGTGTTATTTCTTTCAAAAATGTAAATTTGTGGTGTTAATTGTATAGTTTAAAATATCAAACTAAAAGTGTTGTAAATATATAGATTGGGGGTAGTACTATTTTTTCACAATGGAAGTTAAGAATGTTCATCGTGTCATCATGAATGCTAAAATATTTTAAACTGTGAAGTTAACACTATAAATTTACATTTTTGAAAGAAATAAAACTTCAATATGGTGCTAAAATAACTTTTTATATAAAATTTGGGATACTTAAAATACATGTGAAAGTTTGGGGTGTTTATCTCACACCCCATCAAAGTTTGAATTATTTTAATCATTTTCTCATTATTATATACCCTATTCGCCTATTCATTCTCAACAAGTATATATATTTACTTCATATAATTGTAAAAGGTATTAACAAACTTATTACTCCCTTCATTCCTATTATATCTTCCAACTTTCCTTTTTCATATGTTCCGATTAGACTTCTATTTTCCCTTTCTGGTAAGGAATTTGTGGTTCACAATATTTCTTACACATTTCTCTCTCCTCTGCACAACTCTCCACCACACAATACTCACTTTTCTTAAATTGTGTGCCAAAGTGAAATGGAAGATATAATAGGAACGGGAGGGAGTACTATTCTCCGTTGTTTAATAGTTGCAACCGTTTGACTTTCACGTTTGCTAATACACAACTTTGACTATAATTATATTTAATTATGCATTAAACATTATAAAAATTTAATATTTTGGAAAGTCATACATCATAATTTGATACATCATAATTTGATTATATGTGTGTGTATACTCGGTATACATTAGTCAAACATCCTGATCAAAGCAAGGTGCATGAATGTTACAAAGTATTACTAGTAATCATCTAGCTGATCATCCGTATATGACTAATCAGCTAGCTGAACGCTGGGCATATTGTGTCATATGTCGTATAAATCAAGTTGAAGTATGAAAATGTTCTCAATTGAGTATTACAGTATATAAATCAAACTTCAACTTCAAACACGGCATGAAAATAATATAATCAAATAATGCGTAGCATCTTGACTATTAGCTGTAAGCCTGTAATTGGTTGCTATGTTTTAATTATTAGCAGCTGTATACTAATGGAGGTAGACGAGTTAAAACTTATGATGATGTTTTTTTCATGTTAATTAAACATCGTCGAAAGGCATGTCTTAGCTTGTAACATAACCATTAACCAACTATATAATGGCCTCTCATTTTGTCGACCCTATACCTGCAGGCCTGCGAGGCACCGTTATCTTAATCATACTCCTAAAGTAACAATTGATTATTAGATTGAGGATCTAAGAGAGGTTGGAAGAGAAGATTTGGAGTACCAATCAAGGAGTAAGGACAAGTTGGTCGAGGATCCATTCAAAGGCATATATAGGCGTTTGCCGGTATTATTTGACCAAATATATCGTAATGTCGGTTACACGTCTGCTCTTCAATGGTCAAAATTTTGCATTAACAAATGTCAAAACGAAAATATTACGACGTGCAACTAACTTAAACAAAATGGAGAAGGTATGTCCCCACCCGCCCATTTATAAGGGTGAGCTGGGCAGACCGAACGAGTGACCCTTTGTCTACCCTGACCACTTGTGCTATTTGAATATATTAGTGAAAAAATGGCATAGATATTACCAAGGGACTCTTAAAAGACAAACATTTTTGTTTCCACTTTTTCCAAAAATATGACTTCACCGTCAAATAGTGCACATCTTACGCGACCTGCGAACTCACCTGCTCCTATCTTTGCTTTTTCTTCAATGATGGTGGCAACCGCTTCTCCTCATCGCTCCTCGCTGCACAGACCGCCGACGCTCCTCTCTGTGCCTCCTCAACCGTCGTCCCGCCTCCTTAGCTGCCACAACCCTCTCTTCTTCTACTCCTTTCTCTCTCGTTGCCGTTGCTCGAGCAGGTGCATCGTCGATCTTCGGTTCAAAAGCACACTGCTACAACTCCAACTCTGCGATGCTGCCACCTCGTCGTTGTAGCCTCGCTTCCGCCGCCCAATAATCGAAATTCCAGATCGAATTTGAAGGATTTCGATTTTTGCAGATTTGGTTCATTTTGGGGTGACTCGGGTGTGGTAGGGGTAGGGAGGTGGTTGAGCTGAGGCTGGAAGCTAGGGCGTGGTTTGTGGACTGGGGTGCGACATTGGGGCGAATGGGGAGTGGTGGGGCACGAGATTTGCGTGACAGGGGAAGGAGAGATGAGACTGGGGCTGAGTGGGCGAGCTTGGGGTCGGGATGGGGGCTGAGGGGTCTTGAGGGATGGGGAGGTGGCTGGAGGCTGCGGTGTCGGATGGGGTTGGAGAAGTGGCTGGGGGGCAGAGTGGTGGTTTGCAGTGATGGTCGACTGCGGCGCTAGGGTGGTGCGATGTCACTGTCGGGTGGGGGTATCACTGTAATGCGCATTGACAGAGCAGGGCTGGTGTACAGTCACCTGTTTGAGGGTGGGGCGGTAGTCACTAGACGGGGTGGCGGGAGTCACTGGCCGAGGGACGACGGCAGTAATCACTAACCGGTGGCGGCGACAGTCACTGACCGAGCAGCGGCAGCCACTGACTAGGCGGTGGCGGTGGTGTGGTGTCACTAGTGGTGGTCGAGTCACTGATGGTGGTGTTGTCACTGTAATAGGGCGGGCAGTGACTGGTCGGGGGCAACCTCAATCACTGACCGAATGGCGGCGACAGTCACTAATTCGAGAGGCGGCGACAGTCACCAATCCGAATGGCGGCGACAGTCATTAATCCGGGCGGCGGTAAAAGTCACTACACATTTGGTCACTGTGATCGGAGTCACTGCATGGGGTGGTCACTATTTGTTCAGTCACTGAAATTGGAAGTCAGTGCATATTAGTCATAATTTTGGAATGTTGTTCATGTGATCACTTTTTGTCTTTTAGTCTTTATTTAGTACTCCGTAATATTCATAAAATAGTGTCTATATTAATCAATAATTTATACGGTGAAAATAACTACTCCGTATTTTAGAATAAAAGTCCAATATATTCTTTTTTAGACAAGTTCAGAAATACTCCGTATATACCTTCTTGAAAGGCATATAGGTGTTTGCCAGTATTTGACCGAATACTACGTATATCAGACGGAGTTACGAAGAGATTTAGAGAATCACCAATAATTGATGGTTCTAGAACTGATAGACCTTGATGCCATAACCTTCTTTTAGTAATTTGATTTACCTAGTTAACTAGTTTCAAACTCCTATTTTCCTTTGGTCATCTTTTTTAACCAATGGGATGATTTTAGTAATGATATACTTCCTCCGTATTGTATAAAACCAGAAACAGAATCGTACTTGCTCTCTTTATTTTTACTTGCTTCACTGATTTTTTTAGAGATACCATCAGTATTCAGTATGGTGGTAAATACGGAGTAATTTAGAAAAACTGAAACAATCAAAAAAATTAAATGAAGTAGAAAACTTAAGCAGAGATGAGAATATAAGGACTTTTATGCCCTTGATACGTTTGTTATTGCCAAATGAGTAGAACAAACAACAGGAAAAAACTGATGTATAATGAAAAGGAACAAGCAAAAATGCAGTTAGTGTCTTTATTTGGAATCGCCTTTACGCCATATACGCCATTCTTAGTTCTTCCAGTATTTAGGTTATAACTTCATTGTGCATGACCATAGATGCAACAACATTTGGAGCCAGTTTAGTGTGGTCATATTTAGCTGAATCTTCTGAAGTCAAAATTGTGACCTATATAGCTATATTGATGAAATGGCTTAGTTATGAAGAGATCTATATTCAAATAATAGCTTTTATATATATGTGTGTGTGTGGAATAAATGTGTGAGTCTATCTCACATTCTCACCCCCCACTGTAGTCCTTTACATTCATGCTCAACTGGCAACCATTGGTACCTGAGATATCTGGTGATCACAAGTTCACTCAAATTAAGACCCCAACCAGATGTACTCCTTCCTCAGATAAATCATGAATTGTTCAGGAAGGGATCATCTTGGTACTTAGCATACAGAGGGAGCTCAAGTGCTTTGTCTGCAATTCTACCGTCCTCGTGAATCTTTGCAATCAAGCTCTCAAGCGAAGAAAAGTTCGCCTACCATGTTATATAGTATGTTTTATATGTAGTCAAAAAATTGGGGAAAAGTATATTAAGGCATGAAAAGTATTCACTACCTCAGGCCGTATATATCCGACAATAACAAGATGCAATTCCTCCCCATAGAAGTCCTCACTGAAGTCATGTAGCAGCCATGGCTCCTGAAAGAACAATTGTTTCTTTAACTTTTACGAATATGAGGCAATCTGAAGAAAGGTATGCATATATATTACTCAGAAGAACATGTGTAGTGCTATATTACTTAAATATGTATCACACTTACTATAGTCTTCTCAGTGTTATTGAAGTATGGGTTCCAACCAATGCTCATAACCATTTTGTATGTACCATGAGTAGATAAACCAGCCCACCCAAAATACACGCCAGATGGATGTTCTGAAAGCAGATCTGAGTAACCCTTGGTGGATAAATTTGCTGAAAACGTTATTAGTATTTCCATCATTTGCAATGGAGCCAAAGATTCACTATTTTTTGGCTTGAGAATATGATGGAATAAAGCAAAATGACTCGCTAAACTGTCTGCGTTTCTTTGTTATGAAGCAGCAGTCAGTCCATACAATTTTGGACACGGTTTTCACTATGTGTCATCCGGAAATAGTCTCTGTGTGCTTTAGGACAGGGTAAGACTGCGTACATCCAACCCCCCTTACCCCACGTAGGTGAGAGCCTTTGCGACACTGGGGTAAATGATGATGATGATGTATATATATAAAAATAAAATAAAAAACTAGACGTGGATTCTCCCATTCATCGGCTATGACGTTTTATGGTGCATAATTACATACAAATCAGTGAATCTCACGCTTGGTTCTCCGAATTTAGTGTCATTTCCACTTTTAATCGCCAACCATAATCTTTCACTTTTACTCGAGTTTCAAAAACTTTACACGTCCCAAAATGTTCAAAGCATCCTAAGATGCAGTACAATGAAACATTTATAAAATGTTTACTAAGTGATGGGATTTTGAATAATTTGAACTGAAACTAGAACACTTTATATATCAGACAGTGGAATATATTAATGTTGATGATCACAAAAAAGAATGTCACTATACCTGAAGGACGAAAAGTGGAATTTAGACTAATGAACATCAAGTTCAAGTTTAAATGCTAGTTTAAACAGTAGTGCTTAAAATTTATGGCAATCCTATTAGAACCAATATCCAAAGGACAAGGTATATTGTTTCTGCAAGAAGTTAGTTTATGTACCTGTAGGGATACCTAGCACCTTTGAGCCACGCCCGAATCCCCTAATGACAGGACCCCCAATATGCCAAGTGTCTATGGGTAAAGTTCCTTCTACCCCTGCATCAAAGCATTATTGTCACAAGTTATATACTGAAACATATATAATTAATATAAGCATTAAAGGTTAGAGAAACGTACAATCTTGAAATGCAGGCAGGCCCCACTTTTCCGGATGCAAATCAAGAAGTGAATTGATAACCTCATCAGCTGAATTGTATGAATGGGACTGTTTAGGAAGAGATGGCACGGCAATCACTTCCATTTCAGCAGCCTTACCAGCAATAACGCCAGTTCTGACATAGACGCCATTGAATTATACAAACTATACAGTAATTAGGGAGTTAAAACGCATGCAATTATTGCTAATTCGTTATTCATCAGCACCAGCACCACTTCATCCAAACAAATTCAGGTTGGTTGTAAGGAACTACTAATTTAATTAAAACTGAAAAAATGACAAAGTTTTATGATGGCACGTTTTCTGTTGCAATCTTCTTACAAAAGAAAAATGAGATAAAATTACAAAACTGTCATCATTGTAGGTTATTTCCACTTGCACGAATAAATATCAAGGAAAATCAAATCATTCTTACATATCACATGCTGCATGCAAATTTATATAATATAATGATCAAAGCTGTAACTTAAAAACTTTCAGGTACTACCATAACCTTATGTTGTGCAACGTGCAAGGAACAAATACCATTTAAACATGCTGTTACATAAGCTTGCTTTATTATCTCTATATATTCAGTACCTCAATGAATGTCTTAACGATTTAAAACTAGTTCATAAAAATTATGGTACTATATAAATACATAATTATCTAGGATATCATGCAACTTGATCTTCAACTCACAATGAATCTTCGATGACAAGGCATCTGGATGGATTTACTCCAAGTCGTTTCGCTGCTTCAAGGAAACTTGAACAAGGGGAGAACAGAAATTAATAAGGTTAGCACATGAGCATATAATGTAAAGAATCTGAACAAGAAAGATCAGCTCATGTACATTTCAGGATTTGGCTTTCCAGCTGTAACTTCATCACCCCCTATAATAGCAGAGAATGACTCCTTCCAACCTATAGCAAGAAAATGTACTCTAAAATAAGCTATTCAAATGCGAACTTGGGAAGTCATATTCTCATTAGAATAAATTCCACTTTTGGTCCTACGAGTATCGCACCAATTCCACTATTAGTCCACGTCTTTGACTTTGACCACTTTTGGTACGTGACTATTGTTTTTCGCCCATATATGGTCCTTCCGTCGATATTTCCCATGAATAAAATTGCCAGAGAAGCGTCGGAAAATTGGACGAAAGGACCACAAATGGTCACGAAATATTAATCAAGTACCAAAAATGGATAAAGTGAAAGACGTGGACTAAATGTGGAATTTATTCTTTTCATTATTATATGAACTGCTTATATGCAGAAGAAAAGGACTTTGAATTTACTTGGTTTGAGCATCGACTACCTTTATGATAAGAAAGTTTTGCCTCTATGTTTGACTTGGGAGAATTAGAGGCCAAAGCCATGGGCACACCATGACTCTTGAAATGATCAATCAATCGATCTGCACCTGGAAGAGCTTTAATATTGGACCACCTACAATTACTAATAAGTAATTAACAATCAAACTTACTACCTCCATCCCACAATACTTATCTTGCTCACTTGCTGCTTATTGTTCCCTTCGTAGAGAATACTAAATTTGACTTAAGATTTGAAAATAACAATTAGAGATGGAGTATTATGCGACTATATGTTAAGGTAGAGAGTAGCCAAAAAAAATTGGGTTTCTTAATTACACTTACAATTGTGTAGGTGAAATTTTGAGTCAATAATAATATCATCTGATAGTGTCATAAATGTTATGTGTGGAGGCTAGGAACCTTCAATAATTACATAACTCAAAATAAAGGAAATTCATTTATAATACCGCTCCGAAAACATTGGAGTAATTTGTGAAAGCAATTCTTCTTTGGTTAAGGGAAGCTCGTAATCTTTAACAACTACAGCCGCAGCTTCCACTGGTGTCTTCCCAACTACTTTTTGAGCTTCTCTACCATCCCATTGCTTTCCATATTTAACCAGAAAAAGTTTTAGAATATCCGTCACAATGCCATCTGTTAGAGAATCAAGCTGAGTTAGAAACTGGTGTCCACTGAGCAAAAGAAAAGGAAAAGATTACAAAATCTCAAACGTGAAGAATTTATCCCCAAGTTGTCCGGTAAAAGGTATACTGTATGAGCTAATCATCATAAAACAAGGTTATTTGGGGTAATTTTTCTAATAATTAATTAAAATCAAGTTAGGTCCATGTCTTTAATTCCGCCTATATTTGGTACACAAGTGTTACTATTTCCCCGCCCATGGTCCTTCAAGCTAAGTTTCCAGTGCTTTAGATCGTCTTAGAGGTGCCGTAAATTTAGCCAAAAGGACCATAGATGGCAATAAACAGTAATCATGTACCAAATGTGGGCAAAGTAAAAAACATGGACCTAATGTGATATTTATATAATACCCATTGCCATAATATGGGTATGTAATGCTACTCTGAGTGGAAGAGTACCGTCAATTATGGAGCTTAAAGTACATTTTATATTGCATTTTTAGCTTTTTCAGTTGGTGCAATTCAGTGTGGGAACATGAATACAGAATACCCCTCAAAGGAACGGATGTGTTGTAGTCCACTCTGGCTCAGAAGTTAATTGAATCGTTGTGTTCATCTTTTGATCAATAAATACACAGGAAGAATGCAAATCACCTGTGTTAATTAGTGTGCCATCCAAATCAAGGATAACACAAGAGACTAACTTTTTAAAAGTTTTCACCACTGACATAGTGAAGAATGTTGAGCGCTTCAAAAAATAGAGCTTAACGGCTTATGCTCCTGTCAGGACAATTATGGCTCCTCCTGTTCTGCCACAAAAAAAGCAAGAATTAATGTAGAGAAAGCTTAGGAAGATGCTAATATAATGGAATTGTGTCCACTCTATTTCTTCTCTATATTCATTGTCTGGTTCAGAATCCGTTTCTTTACATGATACTATTTTGGTCAAATACGCTGTATTTTATATTTCTTTGGCACTGAAAATTGTGAAAAATATCTTCCACAAGCAAATTATTTCTTCAATTCTGACTTTCAGGGAAATTGACTTCCAGTTTCTTTACATTTAAACAGTTTTGTGCTTTCTATTTGTGGGTAGAACATTGTATTTCACAAAGAACAACTTACTCTGAGAGGCATATTGCTTCAAACAAATGGAGCATTATTAACATTAAGAGAATGGACAAAGGCAGATTAGCAGAGTTATAGTTATAAATGCAAACCTCATTGATTATTTATACATAAATGTTTTATACTATGATCAAACTCCCAGAACAAGAAAGGACCCAGCTATCACTCAAGAAAATACTAAGTATACCTCTACTTTCTTTGTCAATCCTGCTTTGACAGACTCAATTGCAAGCATTAACAAGTCAACCACAAATCCCCTGTTCTTCATCCCTAAAGTAAGAAGATTCAAAAATCAGAACAGACTCAGCATTGTTATATTTGTATAGCTGATAAAAATCAATACGGAAGTAGAAAGCTCTCACCCAGCAAAATGAGAAATCACAATTCAATTTTCCACGCTTCTTGTGCTCTATTTCTCGATAAATTTGTGCTGTATCACAATTCAAACTCTGTATCCCTCTGTAAGTGGGTATGTGCAAAATAAGGACGTATCTCTATAGGATGCCTATACCTTTGCATAAAAGTACTGCCAACATCATGAAGCCCTTATGTAACATTCTTTTTCGACTAATCAAGCTTACTTTCTTCAGTAAGAAAAAGTAAAGTTAACGACCATTTTAGCTATTTTTACATATAATTGTTTTTATTTTATTAATAAAAGGCGGAGTATATTTTAAAAATATTTTTTCTTAAATCAGCAGAATCCGTCAATGCAGCCACTTCAACCAAAACTTCATAAATTTCGGCAGAATAAGCCGACTCTGTCAATTTTCATGTTACCAAACAGCTCTTTATTTTTAATTTTTTCATATTTCAGTTTTTTCGGATCATCAATTAAAAAGAATCAAAAAGCGTAATAGACGATAACTCATTTACCAAACGGACCTTTTGAGCAAATATCATTTAAGGCATTTATTAGGGGTGGGCAAAAGTACCGAACCGGTATGGTATCGAACCAGATCTATATGGTATCGGACCGAAAAACGGATTTTAAAATGGATGTCAAAATTTTTGTCCCAAACCGGACCGTATCAGTTTTAAATAATGATAACCGGTATTGAACTGAACCGGACTGAAGTAAGATTTAATTATTTAAATGTACATGTATTATGTATACCATTATTTTGATGAGTGTCTTCACACTTCCACAACCTTTGCTAGTTTGTTGGAAGCCTAGAACTGGACCGAAGTATGATTTAATTATTAAATTTGTACTAATAGTTTAACTGAAATTCATTAATTACGTAATATGAAAATTGATAAATTGTGTAAATTTTTGGAGGATGACCGAATTTTAATTTTCCCTTAAACACTTGAAAAAAGTGACATTGTTTGGTATTGATATGACATGATACCGTCCCGTTTGAATATAGAATCGTACCGAACGGGTTTACGTCCAAAACCAAACCGTTTCAATAGTAACAGTACGTGTACAAGTTCGACAAAACATTGGACCGAACTGGACCGTGCACACTCCTATCATTTATTGTAGCCTTATATTAGGGAGAGGGTATATATGTCATTATATCATTGATGTAGGAACTAGTTATACTACAAATATAATTGTTTTTAGGGAAAAGGTACAAATATACCCCTGTAATATGGACGTGAGAACAAATATACCCTCGTACTATTTTTCGGAACAAATATACCCTGAAGTATATGATGAAGTGCGTATATACCCCTGAACTCTTAAAAAACGCAAAAATACCCCTCATGTTCTTATAAAGGAGCAAATTTACACTTATTGACTTTCATCAACAACAACAACATCCAAGTCAATTTACACTTATTGCCTTTAAATAGATAAAATAAATTTTAATATAAAGATTTATTATTATGTTAAAATATTAACTATTTAATTTTAAATATCTATACTAATTGTAAACGAAGAACGTCAAATTCATAAATATTAATTTCAGTCGTGTTGCGAACTTTTGAACACGTTGTTAATTTTTTTAAGTAACACTCTTTGATTTTGTTTACCCTTAATAAAATTAAATTCACTATATTGTAATCTTGGGTTATTTACCATCATACAAAATATGTAATTTATAGTGCAAAGAATGCAGAAAATTAATTTTTTTTACATTGCAACACATATGTTATTTAGCACTTTTTTGAAAGAATCTAAAATATACAATACAATTTTGAAAGGGAAAATCGCACATTTGACCCCCCAATTATCCATCATATTGAAATCCCAAACCCGTGTTTCGGGTTTATTAAATGTCACCCCCGAGTTGTCAGAATAATTATAAATGTCACCCCCACCGTTATAAAAATTACAAACTCCGTCTGTTTTTAATTTTTTTCTAGGGTTATAATTGTCTTTCCCAATCCTTTTCGTTTAAAGCCCTAATTCGAATTATCCCCAACCCTTTATCCCGTTTATCCTTCCAAAATCGAAATGCTAAGCTTAATACTGTGCTCTGAGTTTTTTTCCGCCAAGTCTCCATTGCCATGGACGTTCGAACACTGAAAATATATTGAGACCAAGATTCCGCTTTCAAGGTCGAAGTTGTGAAAGAGGAAAGAAAGATGACCAGTCGAAAATTCAATGGGTTAAACGCGACTCCAAAGTGTAAGTACGCAAACCAAACTTCTTTATTGTTATATATGGGGACGTTTGTTAATGTGAAAGGCAATGACATGTATGGGTTGTATAGTATCTCAAGTTGACATGCACACACTTACATGTAAGAATTTGGTGTTGAGTGTTGGTGTCATTGCTTTGAATAATGAAAGTGTAGAACATAAAGTGCTTTGCTCGATGGCTTCGTATTTATATGTTATTGTATTTGAAGGGTTGATTTGATATGTTAAGTGTATTTAAGGTTTCGTTTTATATGTTTTTGTATTTGTTATGATTTCTTGAAGAATGAAGTGTTTGTATTACTTAAATGTGCTTTGTAGATACAAAGGATGAGAGATATACTTACACAATCAAGATGCATTATGCTGGAGATTCGGTGCATGAACCAAGAGTTCATTATAAGAATGGGAGAATTGAGTACTTCGATTACTTTAATGGAGAAGAGGCAAGTATGTTAGATTTAAGAAAGATGATGAAGAAGCTAGAGTTCTGTGATAGGAAGGTTGTGTTCTGGTTGAAGTATGGGTCTGCCAAATTCTCTAATGTGAGAAAAATAATGACAGATGAAGACCTTTTCAACATAAGTTATGAGCTTCCAGAAAATAGGGAGGTGGAACTGTTTGTTGACCATGTCATGGAGGATCAGTGGGATTACGGGGTGGAGGTTTCTTCTTTTATATGTGATGAGGTGCAACAGAAAGATGATGTACAAGACAAAGATGATGACAACAGTACCATGAGCAACACTTCAAGATCTACTACACATGCAGACACATTTGAAGACGTGTATTCTATGGGAGTGGAAGACAAAGACAACATGTATTCTATGGGAGTGGATGCAACAAAATAAAGATAAAATGAGAGAGACAGTTCTTAAAATATGCCCAAGATAATGAAGATCCTTGAACAAGCAAAAGACATGGCAAATGATTGTATTGCCTACAAATCTACTGATGGTATCTATGAGGTGGAAGATTGCTATTGTAGGTAATACAAGGTTGATTTAGGTGCACATACTTGTTCTTGTAGGAGATGGGACTTGACAGGGTTGCCATGTGCTAATGCAATTTCTAGGGTTTGGAAGAATGGGGATGACATACTGAAATATGTGCATAGGTGGTACACCACAGAATCATATATGAAAGCCTATGAACCTGCCATTATTCCAATCCTTTCATCTAAAGAATGGCACAAATGTGAAGTACCACCTCCAATTCCTCCCAAGTATAAAGCACAGCCTGGGCGCCCTAAAAAACAAGAAGAGTTGGTGAAGCAGAGCATGAAGAGGCAAGAGCAAAACATAAGCTTCCTAGAACTGGGCATGTAAAAAATGTAGTGTTTGTGGAGAAGCTGGGCACAACAAGAGGAAATGCAAGCAGACTGCCACTCAGGTTGTTTGTTGTCCTTAGTTGGATATTTTCTTTTATGTTTTCATCTTTGTTTGTCACAGGCTTGTAAGTATAGTAAGTACATGTATGTTTGATTGTCACAGGCTGGTCAAAGTAATGGTGAAGGTGATGGTATGAGCCAGCCTATGTCTGATGTACACGTCCATAGTAATGAAATGGAAACCGAAGTACCTGATGCTATGTTGGCAGAAATGGTAAGTAATACTTCCAAAATGTTGAAGTTGTTTAACATGAACTTATGCCTCATAATGATTGTCAATTAATGTAGGACCTAATTAACTCTCAACAAAGTACTTCTATATCAACATCTAGACTGGAATCTGTTGAAGGGACAAGCCAAGCAAAGGATGCAAGAAAGACTACACAAGCAAGAAAGAATGTGAAGAAACTACCAACTCTTCAACAAGGGGTAGCCAAGAAAAATATAAGCCAGTGGCATGTGACCAAGAACATGTGATTTGGTTGAAGTCAGATGTCATTGGATTTATTTTTGTTGGTGTGAAACACTAATGCTATATTATGTATGGCATTATATTTTTGTCCGTGTTAAACACTCATGGTATATTTTGGTATGCCTTAACTTTTATGTCCATGCTTAACTCTCATGCTATATTTGGTATGGCATTATATTTTTGAAGGCCGTGTGACACACTTTAATGTTGTGTACCAAGCTCATGTGTAAAAACTTATGGGTAAACCTGTTTGTGTATAATGAAATGGCTATTTAGTATAATTTGTATGTGGTTCTATAATTTGAATGTTATATTGTATTTGTGGTTATATTATATGGTTATATTATATTGAAATGCCTTTACTTCTTTGAATGTGTTACTATAATTTGTGGTTATATTATATGAGTGTTAGTTGTTTAGGTTGGAATGCTTATGAGTAATGTTTGTTTAGGTTATATGGGGAACACATTTGAACATTCAATAACAACTAACACATTACATGGGTGTTGATTGTTTAGGTTGGAAAGCATATGAAGTTGAAACACATTTGAACATGGGTTTGAACATTGAATAACAACTAACACATTTGAACAAATGGTCTTGTTTGATTACATAAACTGCAAGAAAATGAACTACACAACAAAACTACATATTACAAACACACTTCTCACAAATGAAGTAAACAACAACTTCTCACAAAACAAGGGTACAATTACAACAAAACTACATATTACAAGCACACTTCTAGCTACCCTTCTTTGGTCTTCTTGTCAAATGGAATTGTCAAAATTAGTGTCATTTTCCCACCTTCGGCCATTGTAGCTTGTGCAAACATTTGTATAAGTTCACAAACATCACCTTTTACCTTTGCATCTCCACTTCCTTCACCTTCTACACTTGGACATTCCTTTCCATTATTGCTGCTTTCACCAATTTTCCATTCAAAGTAATTGCATTGTGTGCAAGTGTAGAACAATCTGCCTTTATTCTTTTCAACCTTTGCTGTAATCAAGCATCTTTTAATTCCAATTGAACAAGCAGGGCAATTTTTCTTGTTAGGGCATTCATTAAGGAAGTGTGTTGAACTCCTGCAACAATGGCATATACCATAATTTGTCAACATATTTCTCCTGCAAAATTAATCAAACCACAAACATCATGACACCCACTCAACCCCAGACATGTGGTTTGATTTTTTGAAAAAAAATAAAGAAGAACGAAGTATATGTACGCACCCGAAGACGAAGAACGGACGAAGGAAGAGAGCTCTTCAATACTCCAAACGGCTGAAGAACGTATCAAGGAAGAGAGCTTTTGATTCAGGGCGAAGGAAGAACAGCTGGAGAGGTTTTTTTTTCAAGCAAAGAAGGAAGTATGGTTTGTATTCGAATTAGGGCTTTTTAAACGAAAAGGATGTGAAGTTACAAGTTTAACCCTGATTAAAATGAAAAATAGACGGAGTTTGTAATTTTTATAACGGCGGGGGTGACATTTATAATTATTCTGACAACTCGGGGGTGACATTTAATAAACCTGAAACACAGGTTTGGGATTTCAATATGGTGGATAATTGAGGGGTCAAATGTGCGATTTTCCCATTTTGAAATAATATTTTATACTAACAATATTAAATTGTGATATAAAAATAATAAAAAGGGAGAAATATTGGACACAAATACTTTTTTATAATTTTTTATTTTAAATTTATAATTTATTTTTGGTGTTTTTTGAAATTTATTTTGTCAATTTAAAGACAATAAGGGCAAATTTGCTCCTTTATAAGAACATGAGGGATTTCTGCAGCTAGATCGGTGGCTTGGATTGTGTTCTTGATGGAAACCAAGGTGCGTTGCTTGAGAGCGAAGGAGCTGATGCGTCTTCAAGGCTTCCAGGATGCATTTGGGATTGACAGCAAGGGCTCGAGTGGCGGGCTCGTATGGGTGAAAGAAGACGAAGAGGTGTTGTTCCGCCCCCCTACCGAATCGACGCCATGGAGGAATTGTGTGACTAGGATTTGGAAGACTATTTCTACTTTTGATTTAGCTTGGGTGTGTTCTTACTTTGATCTTTATGTTGTTTTGTTGGTGATGTACGTTTTTTTGTCAGACTCTTACATTAGATTGGCGTAGTGAGAGGTTTACTCTAATCACGTTAGGCTCATTTAGACCTATTTCAGGATTAGCTAGCCATATTGCTTTATTCTAGGTGATCGGCTCTAAGTCTGGTTTGAGGGTCGGTGATTGAAAATGGTCCTTTTACTTTCTTGCTCTCTTGCTGAATATTTTGATATCAATATAAAGTTGTTTTGTTCCAAAAAATAGAACATGAGAGATATTTTTTCACTTTTGCTGAATATTTTGATATCAAATACTTCAAGGGTATATTTGTTAGAAAAAATAGTACACACTATATTTCTTCTCCCACTCTCATGCTACAGCCGTATATTTGGTCCCTTCTTTTTACTGGTTTTTCATTTTAGGTGTGTATCATACTGCGAACAAAATCGGAATAGGGAGAGAAGCCGGAGAGGACAGATACCGATACAGTGGGGGGAAATGAGCGGGGTAGGGAAGAAGGTTGCCGACGTTGCGTTCAAGGCCGGAAAGACAATTGATTGGGAAGGAATGGCGAAGCTTCTCGTCTCCGATGAGGCTCGCAAGGAGTTCGGTTCCCTCCGCCGCGCCTTCGACGATGTTAATTCCCAGCTTCAGACCAAGTTCAGCCAGGTTCCTCCCTTTTCACTGTATCCTTATATCGCTTTCCAATTTCCATTTATGGGGATCTAAAACTTTGAGTGTTTTAATGCTATAGCTTGATGTGGCGTTTGGATCTGCGTATATGGATAGGTGATTTCTGTTTAGAAGGGTTTAGGCGTTGATTTTGGTTCTACTTCTATAAAAAAAATCCAATTTTAGTTAATCGAGGAAGTGTTTCTTTGTAACTGTTTAGCACTGTCTTTTGTTGTTTAAATAATAGCTTGCGGTTGGAAGATATATCTAATATAACATGACCAAAAGGATTCTGTCAAAGAGAAATTACTTTGAAAAATTTATAATACACACACACCATGCATATATATATATATATATATATATATATATATATATATATATATATATATCTGATATAGGTGTTATTCTCTAGTACAGGTTATTTTGGGAATTAACCTTCAATTATCAGAACTAGTTTGTGAGAAGCTAGTCATCCTGGCTTGTCAAAATTTGGTCCTGAGGTGAGGCGGCTAGAAGTGATTCTGGTTTCTGAACCTTTTTCCGACACCCAAAATCTGATTCTGCGTGGGGCTCTCTAATGGAACATAGGAAGACTAGATTTACTTCCAAACACCCCCTCATTAAGCTATAAATCTCAATAAGAGTAATTAACACTGCACTATGAATGCATTTGGGCATCAAATACCTATATTCTCTTCTGTATTTAGAGTATGTTCTTCTGCAGTGCAGAACATTAACTCTCTAATCCAAATGGGATGAGTTTATTTGTCCAAGGCAGTAAAAATACTAAAAAATAATGCAATTATAATTCAGTTTATGTAAGTATTACAAGCTTCTGTTGCAAATGAGATATTTGTTAAATCATACAGGAACCTGAACCAATAGACTGGGAATATTACAGAAAGGGACTTGGTTCTCGCCTGGTAGATATGTACAAGGAGGCATATGAGAGTATGTTCTGTTTTCACTTGTCATTTCCATTGTGTCGCAGCTTGTGGAAACTGTCTTTCTATGAGTTAGGACAGTGGCATTGCACTTATGTACCGAATCTTAAAAGTTAATGTCTTTATGCATTTCTTATAGCCAGGGGATTAATGACTCCAGGATGGTTATAGATCCAAATTGGAAAACTGGTTTTTTGCCTCTTAAGTTTTAGTTCTCAACACCTATCAGCTACTCCTTTCGTCCTTAAATAAATTTCACTTTATATTTAATGTTGACAACTTAACATCTTTTAGGTCTAATTTTGATATTTCAATGAACCAAACCTTTGTCTTTCTCAAATTCAATTTGTTTGGTTTAGTAGAACTGTAAGTATAGATTCTATACGTGCAAATGTAAAGGGGGAGTTAAGTTTATCATCAACCACACGGCGTAACCAAAAAATTGTTCTTAACTTGGGCACTGGAAGATATTTATGTTCATTTCCATCAGAAACATTTTTCCCCATGTGAAGTCTTCACTGAATTTTGAGCAATTTGTAATTATGCAGGCATTGAAATCCCTAAATATGTAGACACTGTCACTCCCCAGTATAAGCCAAAGTTTGATGCCTTGGTAAGATAGTTTTTAAAAAATTGCGTACATTTGTTTTGATGATTTCTGCTTCTCCAACATATCCTTCCTTAATCATACCTGTTCATTGCTATGGTTTGTTCTACACTTCTACCTTTTTTTTTCTTTTTCAATTATTTGTATTTAATTTTTTTAACTCTCCATTATATCTAATGTAGTAATAGTAAAGTGCTAACAGTACTGGTCATCTTTATCTGGATTGCCTCTTTGGATTAGTTCATTTAGAGATGTAGTTATGTGCTCATTTGTTGAAAGAGCTGTCAATAGCAATTGGTATATACTCTAAAGATAAAGAAGAAACTGAGTTCTGTGTTTACTTCTCTCTAGAGTATGAGAATAATCTTGTCAAGTTTCATTAAGCCTTTTGTTTGGTTTGAGGGATTTGGAAGGAATAGGACTATAGGAGGAAAGTGGACTTAGACTCCTTCGAGGCTTCAAGCTCAGCATATCTTGGTATAATCTCACCCAAATATGGGTATTTCGTGGGAGTTACCTTTTGTTTAATTTCTTTTTCAATTATTACTAAAATTATAATCACAATAATTTCTTTTGCTAAACATACAACATCCAAGCCTTAGTCCCAAAAGATTTTGGGGACGGCTAAACATATATAGTTATGCAATGTACCTAAGAAAACTATTTTCTTTAATCACTGTAGCTGGTAGAGCTGAAAGAAGCAGAGGCAAAATCACTCAAGGAGTCTGAAAGACTAGAAAAAGAAATTGCTGATGTCCAAGAGTTGAAGGTGTGACTGCAAATCTACTTTTGGTCTTATTCATTCTCTAAAAGACTTCCTCTCACCTTTCCTTCAACCCCCCCCCCCCCCCCATCTCCCTCCCAATCCGTCTGTTTCTCTCTGCTTGGCTTATCTGAGCCATCCAATCAGCATGGGACCTTTAACTCTAATGAGGCTCCCTCCTCTTTTGCTCGGAAGATCCAGACGGTCGGTGTTTGATTCAAGGGACGCCAATTGCCAAGAAGAGGATGTGTCTCACTCTGCTTGGCTCATCTGAGCCATCAGATCAGCATGGTGACCCATAGCAATCAAATGGCTGTGGATCTCTTTTTCTTGGAGGAACTGGTCGGACAGATTGGCCTGTATTGGGGTCTGATCCAAGGCCTTCCTATAGCCAAGCATAGGGGATCATGTCTCTCTACTTGGCTCAAATGAGCGATGTGATTAGCATGTGACTCAAAACTGTAATGATCGGACGGCTCCCGATCTCCTGTCTTGAAGGTGTGGAAGGTCTAGATGGTTGGGCATGGGGTATGATCCTAGGGCCATCCATTGCCAAGCGGAGGATCTGATCCTCTGCATGGCTCAATGATGCCATCATATCATTTGGGACCCACAACTCAGTCTCTCACCATCAAACAGCTTCCTAGCTCTTTTTCTCAGAAGATCTGGACTGTCTAGATACGGGTATGATCCAAGGCTTCCCATGGCCAAGCAGAGGATCCGAAATACGGAAATACCAACCCCACCTGGCCACCTCTTATCTATGAAGTATCTGTATCTGGAGATCTATTTTCTTTTTTTTGTAACAGAAAAAGCTCAGCACAATGACAGCGGATGAGTACTTTGCTAAGCATCCAGAGCTAAAGAAGAAGTTTGACGATGAAATTCGGAATGATTACTGGGGGTACTAGTCAGTCATCTCATGATGGAACTGCTTTTGGCACGTCTTAGTGATCTTCTATTCAGTTCATGTCTGGTTTATATATTACATATATGCAAGAGAGAGAACTCTTCGGTTCCTGATCTTTTCTCATTAAAATTATTTCCTTGCTCTTGACAAGTTGTATTTCTTAATTTTAAAACCCCAATTTGGCAGTGCTATGCTGCTACTTGCTTTATCCAGCTTCAGATTTTTGCTGCTAGTCACTGCTAGTTAAGGGGACCTAACCTATGGTTGAATATAATAAAAGGCTGAGATTAAAAGTTCTCATTATAAGTTCTCATTTTAAGAAAGGTCTTAAGTAGAAGCCTCCCAGAACCTTCCCCTATATATATAGGTGGCGTGTCCAAATTCACTGAAGAAGAAACATCCTAAAAGTCCTGGAGAATAAATTGTTCCCCATACGAGCTCTCATACCTTATTACCACCTTATCTTCCTTTTACCCAGATTCTTCTCAAAAAAAGGTAAGGGCATCTTTAAAATGGTATATATTCCACATTTACTTGCATCCATATCTAACTATCTAGACATTGTTCAATGCACGGTCACTACTCACTAGTCACTACGTCCACTAGATGGTGGGTTCTGTGTATCTGAAGATAGGATTTTCTGATATTGTGATTTCATCCGTGTTTAGTTTTGGACCTTTGTTAGACATTTGGTGAAAGTTCTTTCACATGTGTTTTTAGACCTTTGTTCTTTCAAAACCATTTTGAGATGTGTATCACTGATTAGTAGTGCCTCCGTTTCTTATAACTTTGATATCTTTCGTTTTTTTATTATCCTAAAAAAATACTCCCTCCGTCCCGCAATTAAGTTACCACTTTCCTTTTTGGGCAGTCCCTAAATTAAGTTCACACTTCCTTACTTTCCTTATTTGGCAAATTCTTTACATCAAAACAAATTCAAACAGTGTAAAACAGTGCACTTCACAGTAAAGACAAATTTATTTTCTTAATATGTGTGAAGTCAAATTGAGAACTTAATTGGGGGACGGAGGTATTGATGGACTCGGGCCGGGCCTAGGCCCGGTCGGGCCGCCGGGTTGTATAACATGGGCCCGGGACCGCCCCGAGGGTTGGACGGGTCCGGTTCGGGCCGGGCCACCCGCCTGGGTCACGGGTCCGGTCCGGTTCGGGCCGGGCCGGTTAATTTTTTTTTTATATAATTTATATTTTATAGTTTATAGTTTTATACGAGTATTAAAAACAAACTTCAATTGCATTTATTTGAAATGAAATAGGAACTACATTTGAAAATTAAAACAAACTTTAAGAGATAAACATTTTGAAAATTGTAATCAATCGGAACTTCCCGCACCTCCCGATCCTTTGGCTTTGTCACATGACTTCATATGCTTGATTGCCATCCCGAATCCGCCTGAAGCCCCCATGCTACATTTTTTCTCGCACCATTTGCAAATTGCGTACCACATCCCGGTTTTCGGGTCCTTCTGCTTATCAAAATTATACCGTATAATGGCATCTTGATTTTCCATCTTAACTTCTTAAGTATAAACTATAAAGTAGATATATAAATAATAAATATAATATATTGGAGAATAAGAGAATTAGAGAGTAGAGAGTTAAGAATAGGATTTAGGAAGAATTGGAGAAGAGATATGAAAAAATGTTTAAGATTAGGAGTATTTATAGGTTTTTTTACCCCCCACCCCCCCCACCCCCCCCACCAGCCAACCCCCCGGACCCCCCCTTTACCCCACCCAACGGCTATATAGCCGTTTGGGTTGTCCCCAGCCCCACCCCCAACGGCTAGTAGCCCAACCAAACAATTTTTTTTTTTTTAAAATAAGACCGGACCCGGGCCCGGGCCCGGGCCCGACCCCGGCCGGGCCGGGTCACATTATTCCAGCACCGAGCCCGCCCCGCCCCTTCCCACCGGTTCGGGCCCATACCCGGTCCCGGACCGCCCGACCGGGCCGGTCCCGGGCCCGCACAGTACCGGGCCGGGCCGGGTGGCCCCAACCGAATCCAACCCTAGACGGAGGGAGTATCATTTTTCCTTTTAATCAATTAATTTGTTGTTTCTATTATTCCTTTTTACTTTATTATTCCTCAAGCCGGTCAACTTGACAAAGTTCTTAGAAACAGAGGGAATATCTTCTTATAATCTGAAGTAATTTCACCTTACCATTATTTTTACCCCACTAAACTCCCATTTCATATACTCAGTCTTGATTCAACTCATCTTGAAAGTTGAAACACATGTTCTCCAAAATTTGTCAACATACTTCCAACTTCATTTTAATACCTAAAAATCTAAAATACACTTATATCTAAAATAAGAAAACAGTGAAGTACCGAAAATTGACAGAATAAAGTAAACTAAAAATATAAAATAAATGCATATTTAATAAAATGACACCCCAAAATTTAATATAATGGCTAAACTGTACAAATGATATTTTAGCTATTTGTACCAATTTATAATAACCAATTTGACTTCATAATAACTTTAGTAGTATCTAATGGAAGTTTCATTAGAAATAACTTTAGTAGTATCTAATCCCATTTGACGGTTATAAAATCTTATGTGCGTGTTCCGCATAAATCTTTTAATTGAGTGATTCACCCGGTTGACGCCACCACTCTTAGGCCACTGCAATCTTGATCACCACAATGACATAATGGAATTGGCTACATGTATGTCGAACCACTCTATCCTATTTAGGTTTGATAATACTAATAGTATATCATTAAACTTTATAAATATGTAAAACTCTCGTGTGGCTCCTATCAACAATTGTACACACATCATATAGTGTTATGTAATAAGATTTTGTTATTTAATAGGGGTGTCGATGTTACCGACACCCTACATACTACTCCCTCCGTCCCTTATAACTTTGCCAATTTTCTTTTTTTTGTTGTCCCAAATACTTTGCCACTTTCCCTTTTAATCAATCAATTTGTGGCTCCTGTTATTTCTCTCTCCTATGCACAAATCTCTACCACACAGTTTTTACTTTATTATTCTACGTGCCGGTCAAACTTGGCAATCCTTTTAGGGACGGAGGGAGTATATCGTTAGCGATTTCAGAACAATGTTAGACTTAATAATATGTTTGTTTAAAGTTTTAGAATGATTGATGAGAAAGTTATTGAAGGGCGGAGATTCAAACATTTATTTGAAACTCATTAGCAAAAGATGCTTTGATTTTATGTTTTAAAACATTTTTAATTTTCAACATCTGAATCGTTGCAGCATATATATGAGCTACATCCTATGTATCTATCTTTACAACATGGTATTCTACTTTTCCCTTATGCAAAAGATGGTTGTAGAGAAAATAGAAAAAAAATCCACTTTTGGTCTCATGACTATTATAACACTTCCACATTTAGTCCCTTACTTTCAGATTGTCCACATTTAGTCCGTGACCATTATCCCCTCACCACCCCTCATCCTCCCGGCCAAAATTTCAGCAAATTTAATGCAGATTTTAGGTATGAAAAACCAAATTTAATGCAAAGACTGATATGAAAAACCCAACCTGATACAAAATTAAATGCAAAGACTGATTCTGAGGCTGAGAAGTGGACTAAATTTGCCGGAATTTTGGCCGGAAGGACCGAGGGTGGTGAGGGGATAATGGTCACGGGCTAAATGTGGACAATCTGAAAGTAAGTGACTAAATGTGAAAATGGTATAATAGTCATGAGATCAAAAGAAGAATTTTTTCGAGAAAATATGTGTCTCATTTTCTACTTCCAAGGACCCAACACTAAATGAAATTAATGGAATAATAGTTAAGGAATATTTAGATTTCATTTGCATGAAAGAGGAGGTCATCAAACACCCGTCATTCTAGACATATGTATGGACCCTACTTAAAAATGCATGAAGTGTGTGGATATTCTACGGAAAAACTGTGTGCAAATTTTCAATTGAATAAACATTTTCCTTAAAGTAATCATAGAATGATTGTTGATGTGAAGGCTATCATATCTATAAATGTAGAGACAACGCAAAAACAATTACAAACACTACAAACAAACTGCCTTTTACCAAGGACCCAACGGAAAAATTGTTGGTATAGATATCAATTAGCTATACCAACGGAAATACTAGCTATTCCCATAGAAACTTTATCGTCAGTATACGTTCCGTCGGTATAGACCAACACCAACATATTTCTTACCCATGGGAATAGCTTATAAACTTGTACCGTTAGTATAGACATGTAATAATTTTACATAACTTTTTGCTATAGCAACAGTTAATATACCATTGCTATTGTCCTATTATGTGAAGCAGTAATAATTACTTGATATTTACAAACACAAACACCACATATCCAAAATAAAATTATAATTTGCAATAAAAAATAAAAATATCATTCTATGTATTTTTCATAATAACACCTGTCTTTTTTATATAGTGAAAAAAACATCTATTCTCAACTAATATAATATCAAGTACTAATATTGAATTTGTTGATAAAATATAAATCCAAGTCAAGTCTTTTACAATCCAAGTCAAGTCATTATAATGTAATCATGGTTACATTTGAAATAGAACACTTTGAGCAGTTTACTAATTCCTAGGTTCCATGTTTGATTTTCTTCATCCTTAGAACACTCTGAATGCAGAACTTATTATGTATTGAATCAAATCTTGAAAACCTACAAAATTCACATCACTTTGAATTTATTTTCTGAATAAAAGTGAAACCTAAAATGAAGCACTTAACTAGTATAAATAGCATATCCCCATATATACTCTGGATGGTGAAATAGAGGACATTGAGTACCTGCACAAAGTTAAAAATCAATAAATACATGGAGCAATACCAATAGGAAAGAACTCGATGCCAATAGGATTAAGTGATATTGAGTCATTTTTCAATATGCAGGAATAGAGCATAATATCCTACTACGTACTTTTTATACTTTTAGACTCGCAATAGAGCATAATATTACTGTTTTGTTTTTTAGAATGAAAAGAATGAAAAGAATGAACCACACAGTGAAGATTGAGAACAACTCTCCATGTTCCAGATAAAAAAGATTGTCAAATTGGATAAACTCTATTACAATAAAGTAGAACACTTCTAACAGCTTCATACATTCAAATCACTCTCACTATACTAGAAAGTCTATGAAGTGAAATATTTTTTACTTTGTTTCATAGAGCATATTTTGATGAACCATTGTCAGTAAAAAGGAGCCAAAATAAAATATAGAACATCAAACTATGCATAATCCTAAATAATTGGGATGTATGTTATTTTTAACTACATTACTTACACCAAAAACTTATGTACAGTAAAAGTGTTAGTCTATTGGTCCCTAACAATGAAGCCCTCCACATATGCGTAGCTGCCCCTAGCCTGAATCAAACATTGTCTGAACTAAGTGGACCAAAATCTACCTGTGCTCATCCCTAGACGCATGCCTGCCTAACAAAAGCAATGTCTGTCACTAGATCAAGCAAAACTTTTTCACAGTTTCTATGTATTATCCACTATCTAGTTTGGAGTAATCGCTATCGATGGGAGAAAAGAAAATTTCGCTCGAATGACCAAGCCAAAGAAACATTAATAGAAAATACATGATTCTTCCTCCATCTTGAACTAAACATTACTATATTGAAGAAATTATTAAAAAAACATTACCAGATTATATTTCACTTTCTTCCATTTGATGACTTGACTCAGAAGAATGAT